CAGGGGCTGAGAGCAGGTGACTCACCTGCTCCCACTGCAGAGTGACAGTGGTGTATCACACACAGAAATCATCACCTATCCTTCAGGAAACAAATAAAAAACACCCGAGTTCTCCATTTATATATATATATATATATATTTAATTCCTGTATGAGCAGAATGTTCGTTCCTTAAAAACCAGACCAAAAATCCCAGCAGAAACCAAACTTAGGCAATAAGCAGCAGCTCTCTGGAGACGTACCCACAGTAAGGATCCACTCTGCCCCCCCGTCACTTGCTCAGACATTTCTGTGCAGCCTCAGGGAGAACAAAGAGAGCAGACCCAGCAATCAGCATCCTTGAGCTGCACAGACTGTCCTTGAAGGCTCCCAGCCTTGCTGGAGTTTCTAATGGCAACCACCAAAACTTTTCAGCTATGGCAAGCAGTGCCTCGATCCTTTTGTTGGGAGATGTTTGAAATCCTGCAAACTCTTTAAATAGCAGCATCTTATGAACTATAGTCATCAGATAAAAAAATTTATATCTACATTTTCAGGGACATTCCATTAACCATTATCCTATAGAAAGGATGGTCTTTGAATTATTGAGAGGAAATTCACTGTTAGAATTTCAAATGTGTAAATGGAATAGTAAAATTGGAAAACCAATGAATATAACTAAACTGGAGAGGAAGGGTCAGACTTCTTGGGTTACACATTCTTTCTTACTCTTTTTTCTTTTCATCCCAGTTTAACAGTAAAACAGCATCTTGTTTCAAATTTGATGGTCCAGGAGCACAAACAGGTTCTTTATCCCTGCAGTGCAATGTGGTGTGGTTTTTCCCTGAAAGCTTTTGGTTAATGCTGCAAAGCTTTGTACTACTGCTGATTATTTTAACAACAGCAAAAACAATTCAGAGGAAAACAGAAATAATTACAGAACCTGTCTTCTGCCTTCTTGGATTGATTTACGGTTAAAATTTGGCTGGGCAGTGTTCAGAGTAAAATCCCTCCCAGCCCACACACCGTTGTATGGAGAAGAAAGGGGGCACAAGGTGGGAAGGTTTGACCCTTCCTGCGCCCCACGGCTGGAGGGCTCTGGGATTGCCTGTGTTGCTGGAGCAACCGTGTCCTCCTTGGGAAAATCCTGCTCCTCGCATTGGCAAGAGGCTCCAGTCCCCTGGTTCATGTCCCTGGACAGGCAGTGAGAGCAGTGCCAGGGGGATTTCAGCTCTATCACACTCACAGCTCCTCCTTTCTTTGCCTGTGCTGACCCCGTCCCTGCTGGGGCTGTGGAGGGGTTTTGGGGGACAGGAAGAGCCTTATTCCCCCACCTGCTAATTCTGCTCTGATCTGAGCAGGGCTGGCTGTTCTTCAGCTGCCCAAAGCCAGGGAGAGAGAGGAGTTTCAAAAGAATGTAACTTGTATTATTATTATTTCCTAGCTGCCAGTTAACACAGATGGGACATGCAGTGATTCCTGGGGGATTAACCAAAAGCTGGGCACTTCCCTTGGAGCCATGTCACCCGTCCCCTCTCTTGGAGGCACAGAGGGCAGATGTTGATGGAAATGCCCCTGAGCAGGCTGGAGGCAGTGGGGGATCACGGGCCCAACCAGCAGCCAGGGTCACCAGCACAGCTCTGAAGCTGTAGGGGTGTTCATGGCTATTCAGGGCCTGGTGTTGGGAAAGGTTCCAAAGGGATGCAGCATTGCATGGGAATCCTCTCTGCTGCAGTTCCCACTGCACAGGTTCTGCTCCACACCTCCTTACATCCCAGAACTGGGACAGAGGGACAGAGAGGGCTGATCAAAGTATGGGTTAGGGAGCACTGACACAGCAAACTGAGTCAGTTTGTTTAGAAACACTGAATTCCAGGTGTGTCCCAACATCTCCAGGTGTTTGCAGCACTGAAGAGCTCCAGCCCAGCACACGCCAGAGACAGCCCAGAGCTGGAGGGGAGGTTTGAGATGGTTCTGAAACTGGACATACAAAGTATCCATGGATTCGTCTCCTCTCCTGTTTGACAGAAAGCACAGGCCCGACTCCGAGTCTTTACACATCTCCTGTAAGTTACTGCATGAACATTTGCATTTTCACATTGAGATCTTACACAAAGTATATAGTGAACCCTGTAACCCTTCCAAAGTGATGTTTAATCTGACTATTATTTGTGGGCTTGTTATCAGGTTTGGGCACTGCTGCACGAGTGCCTCAGTGATTTCACACTGTGACCTGGCTTTGTAGGATGGGTTAATCACTATGTTTACATTTCTTTCTTCTCTTAAATTATAGAGTTGATTTTACTTTTCTTATGATGGCAATTTTATTGTAAGGTTTTATTTCTCTTTTACTGCGTATGAAATGGAACACTGAGGTGCAACCAAAATTACCCTTGTAATTGCAGCACAGTGAATAAGTATGTGCAAGAGAATAATCTTGTAAAAGCTGATTACCCTGGTTATTAATAATTAGGATTTGTGAGTTAAGTAATATGGAGCAGCTATATCCAATTCCTTGGCAATTTCATGTAGACAGCTGAGAGATAATTTTAGAAATAATCCAGTGTGAAATCCCAATTGACAACTGAACCAGCATCTTAGGGTCTGCCTGGGGCTTCTCCCTGGGCTTTGGCTGTTTGAAGCTGGAGTGGCAATTTGCAGTTTTCTCTCATCTGTGGCACATAAAAATTTGCCCATTTTAATTTCTTTGTGCTTTGCTTAATTTGATTCTTAGTAAGATTTTTGTTTTCCCTGGGTTCTCCTGGCAGAAGAATTAATATATCTGAGGTTTGTATGCATGTACATGGGGTTGGCTGTTCCTTATGTTTCCTTCTGTATTTTTTTCTGATGGTTTATTACCTACTAAACAGGCTTAGTGTAAATAATATTTTTTATACCTTTGAAAATATCATAGAGCACTTCTAATCTACTCTATTCTGATTTGGTGATACATGAACTCTTGCAAGTCTGGAGAGAACAGTTACAAATCTAATGGTTTTTTGGCCCTTCTGTAAGTTTATGCAGGAGCCTAAGTGGGTGCCCATCCATAAAAAACCAAGTAATTTTGTTGAGCACTCCCCAAAACTCTCTCCTCCACCCCCAGGAGTTCTCCAGTCCTGCACCTGCCAGGCACTTACCATACATCATCACTGGGGAGTCCAGGCTCTAATCAAAGCTTTTGGGATTGCTCTTTCAGTTCAAGTCTCAGCAGAAATCAAGTTTTCATCTCGCAGGTGATGAAAGGCGAGGGCCCTGTCAGTCAGGGCTGAGGTAACTTGCTCAGCCTAACAAAGCCTAGATTTTGTCTTTCATGCACTTGAGGCAAGCCTGAAAAACAGTTTAGCTTTGCGATGTAATACTAGGGAAGTATTTAAAATTTTATTTTACATTCATGTCCAATGTGATACTTAATAGTGGAGCTAAATAATTATTCATGCTAAATGCTCCACATGCTCTGACAAGATGGTTTTTAAAACATAGGGATCATTATTTTTTTCCAATGGAAGCAGAGCAGATTTTAACTGCAGAGGAGCAGGCAGTGAAGCAAGGGCATGTTGTAATTATTACTGAATGTAATAGAACAGAAAATGGTCTGTGTCACTCCTGCCAGGGACTCTGCTGAGGCTGTGCCTTGTGGAGCACAGGGACCCTTGGCTGGGCTGCCAGAGCACGTGTCCCATGATGAAAGAAGACAGGGCCTGTGCAGCCACTGGCACAGGAACGTGAGCATGCCTTTGTTTTGCTTTTTAAAACTTACTCTTTTCTCCTTAGATGTACGGTGAAGTTACCAAAGTCACAGTTAAGTCTCACTGTTTTTACAGACACAGTGTTTCCGGCTGATGTGTCAGAATTCCCAGCAGATTCATGGTTTACGTCCTATTTTTTTACCACAAAGCTGCTCCTTTCCCAGCTCTCTCCCAGCACTCCAGCCCGAGCCAGGCAGGTGCAACGTGTTCCCTAATGAACGAGCAGCTGTGGGGCACAGGGGGCCCGCGAGCCTCTGCCTGGGCGGGCACAGTGAGGTGGGACACGGGGATGGCACCGCCGCAGAGCCCAGGTGGGACACGGGGATGGCACCGCCGCGCAGCCCAGGTGGGACACGGGGATGGCACCGCGCAGCCAGGGCACAGGGGATGGCACTGCCGCACGCAACTGCCGTCGTGGCCACGTGTCAAGGGTAAATTCCAACCTTCTTCTCATGTGGAGGGTATTGAGGGTCCTGCAGCGAGAAGCCCGGGGCTGTCGCTGCTGGGGACGGCAGGGGCTGGGGCAGCGCTGCGCCGCCAGCTCGCCCTGCCCGCGGCGTTCCGCGACCTCGCGGTGAGTCAGCCCCGCTCCCGGCACCGCGCTCACCCCGCGCCCTCGGGGCGGCACGGCCGGGACCCCGCTGCTCCCGCTACCTGCGGCCAGGGGAGGGCCCCGGGACCCCGCTCCTCCCGCTACCTGCGGCCAGGGGAGGGGCCCGGGCCCGGCCCGGCGGCGGAAGCTCCGCTCCGCCCGCCCCCGGCCGAGCCGCAGGTGGGGCGGGAGCGGCCCCGGCAGCGAGCGGCGCGGCGCGGGTGGTGCGAG